AGAGAGAGATGAGGCCTCCGGAGCCCAGGGCACAGGTGCATCCTCCCGCCCGGCCCGCGTTGTACCACCAGCCTCCAAAATATGGCCCCCACACTGCCCAGATGGGGTCTTGCCAGGGCCCTCGCACAGGCACGGGTGTCAGCGGCTCTCCTGCGGGGCAACGAGAAGGACCATTCGCGCTGGGGCTCAGGCGCCACCGCACTGGGGGTCTTGAGGAGGGGATCACAGCCTCTCTCGGTGTCACGTGGAACCTGGCGACGTTCACTAAGGGCTCACTGGCAAGGATCGGGACAGACCCTAGAGTCAGAGGGGCGGGCACAGTGAACACTTCCGGGACCCTCGGAAACCCGGGCGGGAGTGGTCCTCTGCCGGCCCCGCCTCGCCCCGCCCCGCCGGCCCCGCCTCGCCCCCGCCTCTGGCCTAGCATTTCTCCTGCTCTCGAGCGAGTGTTGGCGCGCTGCTCCGGAGCTCGGCGAGGCCGCCACGCTGCGTCCTCCCTAGGTGAGTCGCCGGCGCCCGCGGTCGGGAAAGGGTGGGAGCGAGCTCGAGGAGGAGGCGCGGGTCGGGGGCTGGGTCGGGGCCGCCAGAGGGACGGTCCCCAGGCTGAGCCTCCGCTCCCATCCCCCACCCCTCCTCGAGTATTTCCAGAGGTCTGGGACGGGAACAGGGGCCGGGATTTGTGTGGCCACTGGGGCTCAACAGCCAGCTCCGGCGTGGGATGGACTGGCGGGTGGAGAGGCGCAGGATCTTGGGGAAGTCCTTAACCGGAAGGGGAGGTTTACCCGTGCACTGATTGATTACCCTGGGACTGAGTCCTTTCCCGGGGAAGAGGAAGAAATCTTTGGGTTGGGGCCAGATTATGCACGCAGATAAATGCACTGCCGCACCTGGACCTTTCCCATCCTTTCAGATCGGGCCGGCTCCTACTTCTCTTGCTGGCCACTCAGGGTCAGCTCTCAGTTCCGGGGTCCCAGGCGGCTCTGCCCAGGCCTGCTGGCTCCCGCTGCCAGAGGGAGCATCAGACAGACTCTCCCTCCCCAGCCAGAGCTTAGCTCAGCCCTTAAGGGCTGGCTGGGTGGATGCCTCAGTGGACAGGGAGGGATACCACCCGACCTGTTCCTGGCTGTGCACGCTAGAGCTTCCCTGGAGACCGCTCAGGGCTCTTCCGGGCTGAAACCTCACTTTGTGGAGGAGGAATTGGAGACTGTCCGCCCTGGGCTGTCTGAGGCCGGAAGAGCGATGTTGGCCCTAACTCTGACCATCTGGAGCTCTTTTCCAGCCCCAGGATGTCCGTGTGTTGCAAGGCCAGTGGGGTGAGGGGTTTGGTCAGAAGCCTGAATCTGGGCCCAGTATTGTTCATCCACTTGCCATCAAGTAAGAGAGAAGCTTATTTAAAAAATGGAAAAGTGGGTTTATTCATAATTTGGCCAAATTGGGAGGACAGCTGGGCCACCCTCCTGGAGCTAACAGAAGCTCGCTCCAATATGCTGGGCCCAGACTGGGAACATTGAATTCTCCTTGGCCCAGGGGCTGGGGGATGGGGCGGGTGGGGTGGGTTGGAGTTGGATGGGGTGAGGGGTTTCTGCTCTCAGCTGGAGGAAGCTATAGAAACAGCTTGTTTTTTTTAAATCCTAATTTTTAAAGATCCATTTTGATCTTTCAGATACGGGCTGAAGTCCAGGCCTAGAAGGGAGAGGCCTGGGACCCATTCTTAGGGGTCTAGCCTGTGCTCCACCGCTTGTGGCCCTGGCCAGCCCAGATCTGTACTCCCCAGGATACCCGCCCGCTGCCCCAAGGCTGATGTGAACCAAATCCTGCCTCCAGCTTGTTCCAGCCAGTGCCACAGACCCCAGCCCTACAGAGGAATCCTGGTACAGAGCCCACAGCAATCAGGTGTCCCCACCTAGCCAGGATTCACCTATGCCCTTCCTGCTGCCTCCCAGCCATGGAAGAGGGTAGAAGAGCCTCAGTGAAGGCACTCATGTGGAAACAGGAAGAAGGGAAATAGGCCCCCAGCCCTCATCCAGCAGGAACAACCTAGGGCCCCAACCCCTAGTGTAGCCCCCAGGCCTCCACCTCAGGAGTGGCTTGGACTATAGGCACCCGGTTAGCCAATACCATTTCTGATCACCATTCCACTACATCAGGACCACCAACAAGGGCTACTCGCAGGGCTTCCATCTCCGTCAGATTCTGAAAGTGTTGATGTTCCCCAACTTCGCCTTGCTGTTCCCATGTTTGGGGGTGGGGTTTGTAAGTAATTGGATGCTGACAGGTCCCTGCACAAAGTGGGGGTGCATGACCCTGGGAAGAGTGAGCAGTGCCCAGTCACCTGGCACTGTCTGAGCGGGGACCCTGGCCATGGGTGGGCAGCCTGGCCTCTAACAGCCGCATCTCTCACAGCCACAGCAGGACTGGCTTCTTTGGCTTTGTAAGCCCTCCACGGATGTCTCCCCTCTCAAGCATGAAGGTCTTCCTGCCAGTGCTGCTGGCTGCCCTCCTGGGTGTGGAGCAAGGTGCGGTGCCTGGGACCCCGGACCTCTTCACAGGCCAAGCCCTCCTGGATCCCCTCTCACATCTACCTTCATCAGAGACCAGGAGACCTTCCAGGCCAGCTCCCATGGGACTTTCTGGGTTCTCCTAGGCCCCCTAGAGGTCTCAAGGCTGAGCTGGCCATACTGTTGTGTCCTTGTGTTTGGGGTTCACTTGAGTTTGGGAGGGCCAGGGTCTGTTGTCACCCATAAAGGTCCACAAGCAATGGGGTGTTGAGGGTCAGGACTAGGGGTGCACAGTGAAAGGCCTCCCTGAGAGAGAGAGAGGCATAGCCTGCAGCGTGTCCCTCCTTCTGCAGCCCACTCCCTCATGTGCTTCTCCTGCACCAATCAGAAGAGCAATTTCTACTGCCTGTGGCCAACTGTCTGCTCGGACTCTGACAACTACTGTGTGACTTTTTCTGCCTCTGGTGGCATTGGTAAGTGCTGGTGAGGAGTGGCCAGGCCTCAGCCCCACTCTCTCCACCTGGCTGTTCCCCCAGCCTGAGGCCAGGGCTCTGCAGGGGCTGTTCTGTCGCCTGTAGGGTGTCTGTCCCCTCACCGCCTCTTTTTCTATGCAGGGAAACTCGTGGACTTTGGCTACAGCCTGAACAAGGGCTGCTCCCCTACCTGCCTTGGCACAAGTGTTAACATGGGTGTTTTAAAGGTGGGCACCACGTGCTGCTCAAACTCTCTGTGTAACTTCAGTGCTGCAGGAGGTGGGCCTCAGGCCAGTGCCCCACTGCTGAGCCTTGGGCTTCTGCTCAGCCTGCTGTCGGCCATGCTGTGGCTGGTCCCCTGAACTTCTTTACCTGGTACCCCATGCTCCCCCAGTTCAGGAAAAAAAGACTGGTCCCTTCCAGACACCAGGAGGCTATTGGAGCATCCAACTCCTCCTCATGCCTGATCCACCTCCTTGGCCCCAGCGCCCAGCCCACCCCTGCCCTAGTGCCAGCCACCTCATTTCTGGGCTCAGCTGTGTCCCCCTGAAGGCTTCGGGCCTTAGGGATGGAGCTTAGTCCTAGACACACAAGAGGAACACTTAAACCCAGGTCCTTTCAGCAGGCTGTTTAGCGGGGGCATGTTGGAGAGGGCAGGAAAGACTGGGCCCCGGGCGAGGCAGTTGAGAAAGTACCTCACCCTGGCATTCCTGCACACACAATGCACTGACTTCAGGGTGTTGTTAATGGCTTCACTCCAAGCACCCACCCAGATTCAGCTGAGCCCCTGTCTGACCCGCCCTCACATGGGCGCCCTCCTGCTGCTTTAGTGCCTCAAATAAACGATGCTCCCACCCTTCCTGTTCTGCACTGCTGTCTTTGTGCCCCTCCCAGCAGGGCCCACACGGGGGAGGGAGAAGCAGAGATCCTCAGGCTCAGAAGGGCCTGGGGGTCCTCCCTGGTACAGCCCCAAACTGAGGCCCACTGGGGTGGCAGGGAAGAATAAGGGCGTCCTAAGTCCACAGCCAGCTGCTTATGAGGTCTAAAAGGGAACCCTGACCAAGGGATTTATACAAGGTGAAGAAGGAAGGTCATGGCCCACAGTCTTGGGGTGTGGAGGCCAATGGTGTTCAGCTAGCCTGGGCTGAGGAGGGCACTGTCCCAGGCACAGCCATCCCAGTCCTGTGGGGAGACCAGCCCAGGCTAGACACAGGACCTCTCCCAAGATTCCTGTCCACCCAGAGGCCCAGAAACCGAAGTGGCCTGCTTGTACGCACATGCCTTTTGCAGATCAAATGTGGTCTGAGCTCAGAGGAAACGTGGCCTAGGCCAGCAGTTGTACCCGGCCCATGGAGCTCTTGACAACAGGCTGGTACGGAACTGGGGGCAGGAGCATGCAGGGAGCTGCTCTCCTTGAGTCTGCTCTCTACAGACTAGTGTTTTCAGACACTCGCTGGATGTCAGGTTGGGGAAGGCATCGCTGAGGCACAGTCTGGTCCAGAACTCTGTTCTGGCTGTTCCCTGGAGTCAGGAGGGTCCAGCAGGGAGGTGGGCTCTGCCTGTGTCCATGATCCTCTTCCTCAGTCCTTCATCTAAAGCTGTGCCTATGGCCAAAGCAACAACCACTCCATCTGGACAAAGGGCATGGAACAAACAAGAGCTATAAAAAAGAGAAATATCAGCGAACACCTCACCACAGACACAAATAGAGCGCCTCAGCCTACAGCCCAGGGAAACCCTTCCCTATTGGTCACATGACCCAGGAACAACATGGACACCTTTACAGACAGCCTGAAATGTGCATAACAGGCAGGTGATTGAACCTCTGGGCAGCTCTCTGGCCACCTGCACCCATTGCTCCAGAGTGGGCTTTTCCCCCTTGCTTCCACCCCTGCTGCCACTGTCACACACTTCCTTGCTGATTTGCCCCAGGGTGTGTCTGATTTTGAGTTATTGCTTGTCTGGTTGGTAGATTGGGTCCAAGTCTTAGGAACCCTTCTCTGCGGCAGGGGGCAGGGTGGTCTTCATGGAAGCTCAGGGTGGGCATCTGAACTCTTTGAGCTTAGTGTTGTTGTCATTGCCACCAAAGAGGGAGAGACTGGGACCGACCCTTAAAAGTATGAAGGAGCCAGCTTTACAGACAGAGGTGTCTGCCAGGGGCGCCTCTGAGAGATGGGTACCCCGTTCCAGTTAGCCAAGCCCTGGGGAATCATGGCGAAAAACACTTCCTGGAGTGTTAAAAAACAAGCGTAACAAGGATGGGGGTGAGCCCTCCATGTTGCTCTGGCCGTGGCCCTCAGGTGGACAGTGCTCTCTGCAGGATCACCCATGCAACTCTCCTTGAAGAGCAATTGCCTGCACTTTGGCTGAGCCTGACCCTGTTTCCACATATTGATATGTACTGAGCTGGCTAGGACTTTTCCTTATTCCTTCAATTGGCTTTAAGCAATGCATATTGATCTAGCCCAGGTGGTGATGATAGGCAGGTGTGTTTCCCCAGACCCCTCCCTCCCGCCCGCCCCGTTGTTCCCAGGAGTGAGCCAGGATGAGGCAGGATGTGTGAGCCAATGCTCCATGCTGTTGGCTGGGATGGAGCCTTGAGATAGAAGCTCGGACTTCCTGCGGCTTCAAACATTACACATCCGGCCCCAAAGTATTAGATACTGTCTCAGTTGTGTTATGCAGATTACTCTTTCTACATGTCTCTCTCTCCATTGGCAGCGGTGATTTCAGGCATCCTACCTAGCCCATCTCATGGCACTCACCTACTTCCCAAGGTTCTCATAGTTACTCATCCTCAAGCCACTCGCTTAGTCATGAATGAATAAAACCTGGGTTCGGCCTTGGGTGGAGGACCCCTTGGCTCCCCATAACTACATATATGCTTGAGTGTCTTTATTCTCACCGTGGGTTGCACTGGAAGTGGTACATTGGAATTAACTTGCTATAATTCCAATAAGTTTTCATGGGATTACAAATGCAAGCTTTCAGGCTGGGGATGTAGCTCAGTGTCATGAGTGCCTGCCTGGCAAGCACAGGGTCCTGAGTTCGATTCCCATTACCAAAAAAAAAAAAAAAAAAAAAGCAAAGCAAATGCAAATTTCCTGGGCTGCAATGACGCCAGGGAAGGGCTCTCTGGAGTGTTCCTCTGGAGTGTAAGGGTCCACTTCAGGGTCAGGAGCTAGGATTCCACTCCAGGGACCGTGGATCCATGGCGCACAAGGCAGCAACAGGGACACTAACACTCTCTCATGGCACCATCTGCACCTGTGACTCCCCAGTGATATTAACTTGGTGATTCTTCTCATCTCTCAGAGATGGGTGCCATGCTGAGCCTCGGGGAGTTGAAGCTACTTGCCTTTCTCCATTCTGGGGCCTGGGGACCCAGCCTTCCACCTGCTCTGCTTTGAAGGGCAGCATCCTCTTAGGGCTGAAGTCCAGGCAGTGTGGACCTCCGTGAGTGACAGGTGCTCCCCTCTGGTTCCTGCTGGCCCTCAGGAGAGTAAGATGGTTGGGAGGGGACTGCAAGGGGACCCTGTATCCTGGGACATTGTGGGGACAGGGGAAGCCTCGAGGCTTGAGTTGCTATTTCCTGAGCCAGGAGGAGGGAAGTGAGCTGTACACAAACAGGGCCAAGGGTGGGAGGAGCCCGGTGCTGAGTTTCCATCTCTCACTTCTAGAGGAGGGAGGAGGGCAGTTAAAGGGAGGTAAAGTGAGAGGAGAGAAAAGCTCAGAAGCTGAGTTTCAATTTCCTGAGCCTGAAACTGCAAAGAGAGATAAGGGGGGTGTGGCTGGGGATTTAGCTCAGCAGCACAGCGCCTGCCTGGCAAGCGCAAGGGTCGTGAGCTTATTCCTGGTAGGGGCGGGGGCGCAGAGAAGGGAAGACTGGGAGAGTGGAGGAATGGGAGGTACCTAGGGCTGACTTCCTTTTGTCCAGCCTGAAGGGAAGTTCCCACAGGGGCCGTGCCCATGCACAGGCAAGAGCATGGATTTTCCAGTCCTAGCGCCCGTGGGCCCCAGGACAAGGCCCCTACCTCCACAGACAAATCCACCTAGCTCCTACCATTCCCAGATGTACATGCAGGTGAGATCACTGGCCTCTCATGACCCAGGCCCTGGGTAGCCTCCAGCTGCTCTGGCCCCTGGGAACCCCTGGCTTTAGGCTTCAGAGCGGGGCAGCTCCTGCCCAGCTCCTGCCCCTCCTGCTGCCCACCATGTGCCCAGTCCAAAAAGTGCTTCCCCCAGTACAAAGGCCCTGTCCCCCACCCTGCCTGGTAGGGTTGCTGACTGCTGGGAAGGGACCCCAACTCCAGTGGTCTCTGCATTAGGTTTCCTGATGCTTGAGGCCCGGAAAAAATGTTGGCAAACAGGGTGTGGTGGTGCACACCTCTAATCTCAGCACTCTGGGAGGCTGAGCTGGAGGAACATAAATTCAAACCCAGCCTGGGCAATTTAGCAACTTGAAGAGAACCTCAAAATAAAAAAAAAAAAAGGAAGAAAGGCTGGGAAAGTAGCACGAAGTCCTTGAGTTTAATCCACAGTACTTTTTTTTTAAATTCTAGTATGACTGTCAAAGGCCAGACAGCTTTCCTAAGGATGGGCTTCTGTTGACCCTGATTCCTGCAGGCACTGCAGAGGTGGAACCGATGACACTGCTAGAAGCCACCACTGGGAAAAGGACAAACTTGTGGGCCCTTAACCTGTTGCTCATTAAATGCCTGATTTGTGCTCTGGAATAGGGCCTTAAAAGTGGTTTTCGCTAACAAAAACAAAAAAACCTGACTATTCAGTTGGCCCTGCAGATACCCAATGGTAACTGAAAGTAGTACAGAGCTTGACCTTCATTTTGTATTCGTATTATCTTAAATGTTGGATGTAGGTGTATCGCCAGGGTTCAAGGAGGGACCCAAGGCAGCGATGGGGACCGGGACTCACACGACCCACAAGGTAGGTGGCAGACTTGCTGACTTCCATTGCAGGAAAAGAATTTTCAGGTTGGGTCAGTAAAAAACGAAGGAAGCAGACAGTATTTTACAAGTACATACTCAAAGAAATAGAGTGGGTGGGAGCCCTCTAGAGAGAGAGGCGCATTGTCCAGTGAAACTGGGAATATTTATGTTAAGCAGTCTCCTGAGCATATGAAAACCTATGGAAAACATAGCCCACCCACAGGAAGGATAATAGCCCATTTTACAAGGTATGAAAAGTATGAGTCTATTGTGTTTTCGTTTTAAGATGGATAATGTAACTGTTCTTTGAATTCTGTCAAGCTGTTCCTTTAAGGTCAGGGTTTTACTCTTTATTTTCTCAGTGAAACTGATTTTCAGACTTCAAGTATCCTTAAGGAATTTCAGTTCTCTTGGGTCTGGAAGGCAAGGAACAAAAATTAGCCTAGGAAACACTGATACAGATAGCCTGGAGTCACTTGGACTGTGTCGGGGAGCTCACAGTCTTTTTAAAAGCACGATTTTTGAATTATTATTTTTTTGACCTCTTTGCTACCTATCTTTATTTATTCTGTTCTACCTCAGATAGGCTACTAATTTAGGAAAATTGACAGAACAATATTTGTTAGCTAGCCCTAAATTTATCTAGCTACTACCTCATTCTCCTGCAAGACTTGAGCACAACAAGACGCCTCTAGCATCATTTTCAGGATTCAAAGGGACATCTGATAACCGCAGGTCCCTGGAGCAACACTCAACAACCTCCCCCTGTTGGCCTAAACCTGTGTCCCAGGAAAAGCAGAGCCCCACATGGCTGAAGAGCCACAGAGACCTTGTTTGAGACAATCACTTTATGGAAATGGAATCACCACTCCAGCTGTGAGGATTCCTGTCGAGCTAAGAAATCAGGACTGAGCTAGTGATCAGCCACGCCCCAGCCCACCACCCACACAGCTGGTCTCTGTCCTTTTGTGAACAGGCCAGTCTGATCCTCCTCTCCAGACCTGCTCCCCTTTCAAACCAAAGCCCTTTTCCCGGCTTATCTGACTGTCCTTGCGTAAGAGACCGGCTTGACCTCGGTCAGAGCTGTACTCCCCTTCATCTTCTCTTTCCAAAGCTTTTGCCTGTAAATTCAGGCTGTCAGTTTCTCGCTAAAGCAAGGAGGTGCAATAGCCGATGACACTGGGAGGGGCCAAGGCGGGACCAGGCTCTATCTCCTTTCTGGCCTCTGAGACCCTGGGCTGGGCCAAGAGAGGAATTCAGGGCCTCTCAATGAGTGATGTCACCGGCTAGCGAGGGTCTTCGCTTTAGCGATAATAGAAACTAAAACGAAAATGACTATATGAATGTACAGGCAAAAACTTTAATTAGAAAGTAAGAGAAGGCAGGGAAAGGACTCTAGCTTGAGTAGCTGGAAGGAGTGCACTCTGATAAGGGTCAGACTGGCCTGTTCATAAAAGGAGGGAGACCAGTTTTATGCTAAACAAACACAAACAAAGAAATGGAAATCAAAAAATACGTTAAGCTAAATTGATGTCAAAAACACTACAATTCAGAACTCATGGATGCAGCTAGGGCAAGCTTAGAAGCGGCCTATACACTGGCCTTTATGCATTAAATATGAAACAAAGCAGAACAGTCCACAGTAATGAATGAAGCACTTGTCACAGGAAGTTACAAGAAGAAAAGGAAAGTGAATCTGAAAAAGTAAAATCAGGAAACAATAAAAAAGCAGCAATTGCAGTGTAGAAATCATGCACACATTGGGCGTGATCCACAAGCACAGTTGTTTCTTTGGAAGAACCAAGCATGTGTGTAAGTGTGGAAAAACGAGTCAAGGAACAAAGAGGAGAGAAATGCCTTTAGGAACAATGAACAGGGCCGGGGATTTAGCTCAGTGGCACAGCGCCTGCCTGGCAAGTGGGAGATCATGCATTTGATTCCCAGTGCCAAAAAAATAAAAAGAACAATGGACAAAGATGAGTAGCAACAGAAGTCTAAAACGCTACAGGGGGTTTCACAACTTTAACGGAGAAAATTGGGAAATTCAAATGCAAGCAGTGTTATTTATTAAAAGCTTACGGAGTGACACAAGAAAAACACTCGAGTTTTTAAAACATTTCACTTGGAAATTATTATCAATTCACAGGAACCTACAAAGACAGCGCAGCAAATTCCCCGTGTCTTATCCCTGCCCCCCAGCAATGACAGATGACAGTGACATCTTCCATTTTGCACTACTGTGTGGCCAGAGTGGACTGACACTGATGAGGGGTCACTGTGCCCGAGAATGGAAACCGCAGTGCAGCAGCCCCAGTACTTGCACCCCCAGCTGCCCTGTGGTCACAGCTGCCCCTTCCCCACACTGCTCGCTCTGGCAATGTCTACCCGGTCTCAGGTGGACCGTGTTGTTGCATTCGGAACGTTACTGGATGCGCGTCATGCAGAGTGGCCTTGGAGACTGACTCTTCACACAGCCTAAGCCCTCGAGGCCCCGAGGTTAGCCTTGTGTTGAATATCACTCCCCCCATGGGCACACACCACTGCTTCACCCGCAGGTATCTAAGCGCTCCCACGCCATCCATGAAGGGATGTCCTTTCCTCACGATTGCTCTTCCACTTGTGTGATGTTATTTCTGACCTCAGCGCTCGGTCTCTATCTCTTCTGTGCACACCCCTCAGTGTCTAGACTGGATGGAGCTACCTGCAGGAGGACCAAGGCCCGCCCTGTGAACCAGCCCCTCCCCCACCAGGCCCAGGCCCTCTTCCATCCTTGTAAAACACTAAGTATGTCGTTCGCTCCTTCCCCCTCAACCCTCCCCATTTCTCCTCCCTCTCCTTTTTCCCTCCCCCTCCCATTCCCCCCCCCCCCCCGCTTTCGGGGGTCATGAGGTCTGAAGAAGGACAAGGACAGGAGCCTCTTATGAGAGGAAGTTTAAGAGAATGACTTGGTGGGGGCAGGAGGACAGGCCCTGGAGAGCAGTGAGGGCAGGTGGGGAACAGCCAGCAATGCTGCCTTGTTCTGCAGGGCAAAGGGCGTCTTAGGGCTGTTGCCAGCGAAGGCTTCTGCTACCTGTCTGTCACATGGGAGAGACACCAGGAGAGACACTGAGTGAGTGTGACAGCCCCACAGCTTTCGAGGGTACAAGCTTGCAGCTGACCCTCCACTGTCCCTCTGCCCCTGTGGGCTGGTGTCGGAGGAACAGGGGTCCTGCTCACTCCTCTACTAGGCCCTCTTTTGGACAAGTTTCTTCCCCTTTTGTTTTAAACAATGTAACTTTGTCTTCTCGGGACTTTGTAGGCCCAGTGGTCCCACTCAGGCATCATCAGGCCACATCCTATCCTGGGGCAAGACTCACTGGCCCCTTGGGTGTGCTGTGGGAGTTCCTCACCCTGGACACTGCCCAATTCCTTCCTGGCACTTTGCAATTGGCCCTCAGCAAAGATGGACGTTCCTCTGCGCACCTCAGTTGGCTTCACTTTCAGCCACATCTCCTTGCCACCAGCTGGAGAAAGCGCTGGCTTTCTGTGTGCCCCTGAAAGCAGCAACCGTTTTCCCCAAACACTGCACCGATTGGTGCACCTTGGACATCTTCCTAAGGTCAGGCAGGGCCTGATGCCTGCCCTCAGCCACCCACATCCAAGGAGTCTGTATTCACCACCTATGCTTGGGGTTGGGGGGGTGGTCTGTGATGGCAGTTTACCCTCCTTATTCACTCTCAGATATTTGGATCAAGCAAACAAAAACTACAAGACACCCAGTTAAATCTGAATCTCAGAGAAACAACAAGTAATTATTTTTACTAACATTTGGGACACACTTAGGCTAAATATTTACTTATTGTTTATCAGAATTCATCCCCGATTGGGGTCACCGAATCCAAAGAGACAGAGCAGTGGCTGGACAGCGGCTGTCCCTCTGTGTGACGTCACAGGGATGGTAGTATCCAGCACAGGCTGGCTAGCATGGGAAGCCAGGACATGTCACATGCCCATAACTCCTCTCTAACCCAGCCCTGAGCCTATGCAGTGGGTGGTACACACCTCCAGGTGACACTAGGCCAGTAGGGCAGGGCCTGCTCACCATTGAGAGCACCTCCCAGCTGACCCTTCCTGTCCCTGTTCTCCCAGCCCCGGAAGTGCGCATGGGAGATTTGATGGACCCGTTCTGTGCCCCAAGCATCAGCCCTGAGGGAACCCCTCCCTCCTACCACCAAGAGGCACCTCTGCCCCAAGCTGGGCCAGCCCCGAACCTCAGCCAGAGGGTAGACATGGCGGGTGTGGGAAAACTCAACCTGGCCCCAGTGATGTCTCTACTGGGATGGCTCTTGGAGCCACATGGTAAGAGTTTTGATGGAAAGGCAGAGAACTAGATGCTGGATGGACCCGTCCCTGGCTGGCCATCCATGGTCTAGGAATATCCCCTAAGGCCAGGGTGCTGGCCAGTGTGTTGTGGGGACTTTGGCAGGGGCAGATGACAAAATGAAGCTAAGACCTAGTTGTGGGTGAGCAGAGGGATTCTTTAACTTCAGAGGGAGGGGCAGCCCAAATGTGTGAGACAGCACTGACCCAGGGAAGTAGAGGTGTAGGATGGAACCTTGGACTCTGGCCCCTATTCCAGAGCTCTCTGTGCCCCCGGGGCCCAGATTAGCAAGCAGCAGAGCCTAGACTGAGGCAAGGCTGTAAAGGAAGATGGTCTTGCAGGGAACGTAGGTTTGAAGGCCATGGGCAGAGAGACAAAGCAAGGTCACACAGGTGCCCTACCCATCCAGGGGACTCACAGGGTCAAAACCAGCCCACTACCCTGGGCCCATGGCTAAAAACCACTCCACAATTGTTTTAACTCACTGTGAGTGGTCTCAAAGGAGGAGCCTGGTCCAGCTGAGACAAAGCCCAAGAGCAGAAGGGACCAGAGAGAACCTCACAGCAAGACCCAGAGGAACGCTGACCCCAGACTGAACAGGAGGCCCCCCACCAGGGTCCAGGCATTGCCCCTCACCAGGGCCCCAACATTGCAGAGGTCCTTCATGCAACAACTAATTCTCAAATTGATTTCTTTGCCAGCCAGCATCACACTGAAGTGAGACTTCTCAGGGCAGACAGGAAGGCATAGCTTATCTTTGTATGATCTTGGATCCTATAAGAAAGTGAGATGACCTTAGGATCCTGTGCAGGGACTGCTCATACAGCTCAGCACTCCATGACCTGGAGCTTTCACGACCCAAGTCCAGATGGCCAGGAGAGAACCTACCTATACCCTCTGACTAAGGACCACTGAGGTACAGAGCCCCCATGGGCTCCAGCTCTTCTTTCAGACAGTCCCACCAGGATCCCAGGGTGTGGAAGGTAGGCAGGTTGTGCTGGGGATGGGGTTCCACCTGCCCTGTCACTCTGAGGATGTGCCTAGGACAGATGCAGTCCAGGGAGCTGAGTGTGCCAGGTTTCCTCTCCACCCTCTCGAAGGCCTGGCGTATATTCCACCATTCTTGAGTGATTCCTCTGGCTTGTAATCTGCCTCTGAGTTCCTCCAGCAGGTGAAGTAACTCACTAAAGGCTCACAGCCCGCCCCTTGCCTCAAGCTGGTGGGCTCCTTAGCATGAAGTATGGGCAAGCCCGAGAAGGCTGCAATGAGTACCGTAAAGACTTCCAGGAAGTGAGACAAGGGTGCTACTGGTGTGCTAGGAAGGAAGTGATGATTTCCTCAGCAAGAGGCACAAGACATACCCTAGAACCCCCACGCCTGGCCCCAGAGTGCTGGGTGGGTTGAAGGAAGGTCCTTGGTCCACAATGAGTTATTCCTCCAAAGGGCAACCCCTCCCTGGCTCCACCCACGCTGGAACTTACCTATAGTGGTGCTTGCCTCTTCAGTGACGCAGACTCCATTCTTTCCATGGTAGGAGCACATGGTCTGCTCACAGGAGTCTACAATGGTGTAATTTGGGCATTGGTAGCAGCGCAGACCTTGGGCTGGGGAGAAGACAAGCTTATGAGTCCCCAGAAGTGCCTCTCTTCAGAGCCCCCAGGGGTGTCTGCAGCCCACAGTACCCCCACACTGCACTGTTCCAATGTGCCTGAAGCCTGGGAGGACACAGCAGGGCTGCTCCAGGTACAGCTGTCCAAATGCTGTGGGCTCTGCCAGGTTCAACCGACCCGACCCAAGGCATCTGCAGGTGACATCTATGTCACGGAGGAGGGACCCAGATCCCAGAGAGTCATCCTACTAGGTTGTCCAGTCACCACAGCCTGGGTGGACACCCTCACATTTTTGTTGAATGGGTGGATGAGGGAATGGATGCTGGGGGCCTAGAGAGGGCTCTCTGGCCCTTGGCTCTGTCCCCAGTGCTGGCCCTGGGGTCAGTTCAGGGCCTTTCTCTCTCCTTCCCTTTCTGGCCTGTGGCTGTTAGCAACACCTATAACCGGGCTCTCCAGACACCAGGAACCATACCAGGCCACCATCCACAGCGGAGCTGCAGCAAGGTGGTGGTCAGATGCTCCCGAGAGCTCCAGGGTAGTCTGTGGTACTGGACAGTTGCAGCATTTGTGTCCTCGGGTGGGGGAGAGGGGGCAAGAGGTGTGCCCCTTATGTGCCTTGATGTGGGCCTGGGCAGGCGAAGCAGGAAGGGAAGGCCAGAGGCCTGCAAGGTCAGGCCAAGGTGGAGCCGAGGAAGCCAGAGACCAACCTGGCGGCCAGGCTGCAGGGGGAGGAGGCCCCAGGAGGCAGGAGGCCATTATACCTTCCATGCAGGATCTACAGAGAAAGGACATGCCCAGAGGCTGGAGTGGAAGCCGGTGAGGGAGAAAAGCCTGAAGCCCCAGAGCTGGGGCTGATTGCTAGTGGCTGGAGGAAGCAGGGCAGGCTCAGTGTGCTGCCCTGCCTACTGCCCTACCCTGGGGCAGGAAAGCACTGCCCAGGCCATTTGGAAGCATAGCTGTGCTCACTGTGCCCAGCTCAGCAAACCCATGCACGCTCACACACCCACCCAAGCCTCACATCCTGATAACACAGGGTCCGGAGCCCACCCTCTGCCACATGCACTGCCACCAGACACACGACCCAAGCCACAAGATGTGCCACAAGCAAGAGCATACGGCTCAGCACATCAGCACACAGGGCAGGAATGGGGTCCCAGCAGGCCAGCACCTACCCCACCGGGGCCAACCTGGGGCACCAGGAACACACTGGAAAAGCAGTATACCTGGAAATCCCTCCTGTCCCCTCATCTGTCTCTGCATGTAGCAGGGCCACCAGCAACACCAGGGCAGTGGGTTTCATGACTTGGAAACCATTCATCCTAAGGTGAGGGGTATATAAGAAAACTCCTGTAGACTAGAGCAGCCACTCCCACCCTTACCCCCATGGCGCATCTCCCAGATGGGGTCAGGAAATGCTGGGCATCCAGTTCTTCCTTTCCCACTTTCCATACAGCTCTGAGAGGCATAGGGGAGCTCTGTCTCCTTCTCCTACCCCTATCCTCACCAGCCCCTCTGAATCTTGGCCCCGAGAGTCCTTCCCAGTGCCCTAAGCTACCTTCAGTCCTGAGTGCTCCCTCCTCAGCCAGCCACCAGCAGCCCCCGTCTTAACCCATCTCTCCTCCTGTCCTCGCTCTGGCCAGCCTGGCAACAAGTAGCTAAGGCGCAGACAGGAAGTAGAACTGAGGCAGGAAGTACCTCAAACTTACCCCGTGCAACAGGGGCGGGTTTCCTATTTGCAGTTCTCCTATTCCCTATTTACACTTACTGCTCTTCCCGAGCTCTTGAACAGAAACTAGCAGTGTCACATGCTTCATGCTCTAAGCAGGCTGGCCACAAGGGGTCACACAGGCCTTCCCTACCCTTTGGCACAAGTGTGCCGAGCAGCGGCAGGCACAGATGGGTGAGGCACACCTGCACTATGGTATTGTTTCTCTGACTTCTTTCTTGGTGAGTTCTTTATTGATGTATTGAAATGCCCTTGATTTTTTTGTGTTGATTTTGTTTTATCTATCGATTTATTTATCATCTATCTATCTATCTATCTATCTATCAGTCTTTTTGAGACAAGGTCTCTCTGTGCAGTTCAGGATGGTCTTGAACTCATTTTATAGCCCAGGCTGGCCTTGAACTCGCAATGATCCTCCTGTCTCAGCCTCCCGACTGATGGGATTAAAGGTGTGTGCCACCATGCCTGACTTTTTGTGTTGCTTTTGTATCCTGCTAACTTGCTAAATTTATTAGTTCTAGGAGTCTTTTTGGTGGAGTATTTTGGGACTTCTATGTTAAGATCATGTCATCTGTAAATAATGATAATCTAACTTCTTCCTTTTCTCCTGTGTGTGAATTGAAAGTCAGAGTTTATTGAGGTGTTGCATGTGGGTGTGGGTGTGGATGTGTGTTTTGTTTTGTTGTTATGTTATTAAGAGGGCAGAAGACTAATTTTGTCATCAAAGCACATGAACATGAGTCTGTCGGGTCCACATTTATTCTTTAGGGTATTTCTGTTGATGAAGCATTAATTTTATGAGCTTTATTACGTTAAAGAATGACTACTTAACAGGATGAAAATCACAAAAATAAACTATTGAGTTTTTACTATTTATTGTTTATTTTTAAAAACATCAAAATTTTCAACATTGACTGATTTTTGGTGTACAAAGTCGGAAAAAGAACATCAGAAATAAATTCCTATATGAACTACAATGAAATACCAATATCATTCTACAAAAAATAATCCTTACTTCAGTTATCACACCTAAGGCAGCCTGTACACATGACATCAGCACGTTCCACACACACGCATCGCTTACGCTGACAGCACAGGTCTTTTGCTTTCCAGGCCTTTTTGTGGGACATACTTGACATCTCAGTGGTCATGCTGTTTTGTCAGGAGGTTCTTATTATATTACACAGTGTGTAGTTAGCAGGAACATAAAATGTCAATTAAAATAAATTATTAAATTCTTAATATCTATTGTGCATTTAGAATAGACATGAACATTTTCACGTCAGCTGTGTATTTGCTTACGCACCCTAAAAGATAACATCAGAAATAAATTTCTATGTGAACTACAATGAAAACACTAATAGAGCCTTACCAAAAATAAGTTTTCCTTCTACTGTCACACCCAAGGCAGTCTTCATACATGACAGCTGCATGATCCATGCACACATCTTGCTTACGCTGACAGCATGTGTGCTTAGCTTTCCTTTTCTATGTGGCAGTCTTGTCACCTCTAGTTTCCTGTTTTGTCAGGAGCTACCTACTATCTTGTACAACATGCACCTAGCAGGGAAATAAGGCATCAGTAAAATAAAATATCAAATATGTAACAGGTGCTTAGGATAGACATCAACATTTTCACATCAGCTGTTTACTTGCTTACAAAACCTAAAAGATAACATCAAAAATTAAAATTTATGGGAACTACAATGCAAATACAAGAGTCTACCATGGAAATAAGCTTTGCTTCAGCTGTCACACACAAAACACTGTCACTCATGACAACTGCATGCTCTATACACACGTCTTGCTTACACAGGTAGCACGAATGTTTTGTTTTTCTGTACTTTCCTGTGAGGCACAGTTGACATCTTTTTTCTTTTCCTCTGGTTGTAGTAGGGCTTTGTGATGCTTCGCTTGCCTGTTCACCTATCGGCTCACCAATGTGCTCCACAATTTTTTGCGTAGTCCCCTGGGTAGAAACATTTTGTTTTGTTTTGTTGTTGTTGTTGTTGTTTTTGTTTTTTTCTGGTACCGGGAATTGAACTCACTACCTTGTGCTTGCCATGCAGGCACTGTGCCGCTGAGCTAAATCCCCAGCCCCAGAAACATTTTGTTTTTCCTCTGCTGTAAAATGATCTCTTATGAGCTCCAGTCCCAAGCCTCTAAGAAAATTTCTCTGTGATATTTCACACTTATTATTTTCTTTGTAAACTGTCAAACTATTTATCCACACATGTTTAGGATCAAGTACAACACAACCATTGGCCAATGCTGCATGTTTCAAGTGATATCACAGATGCTATATGACTCATCAACAACATCTATTCCACACTTAGCTTTGTTGCTGAAAGTTTCCATCTAAGACTTCTGTTTTATCAAGGTTTTCTATCAATATTTCCATCATGGTGTAATGTTGACATCAGCAGTACTAGTTTGATTTTTTTTGCCATATATGAAGCCAATGTTATATCTTTCTGAAACCCAAAGATAGTACTGTACAATTCTCTGTTTTTGAAATTGCAACGTTTCATTTGGAATTTCTGTGTTGTTCCCATGTGTAGTTCCTGTGTTGGTCAATTTGTAGTCTATTAGAAAATGTAACATCAATTGGAAACCAGAAAACCAGCTGTCAGATGTCATAATCCCATTCATTTGGGAGACGGAAGCAACAAGTCTGTTCATCACATCATTCAGTTTATTACTATACAAATAAGGACCTCATAGCTGAATTCTAGGATAACTTTCTAAATTGGAAGAATGATGTCTTTGCATCTTCAAGGGCATAACTTTTTATGCCATATTTTGACCCATCATTTTTCCATAAGTCTTTTACATTCCTGTGATCACAATGAGAAATCCATGCTAAATACAGCAGACCTGCTAAATACAGCAGCCAGGAAGAGCCACTAACCCTATCAGTGCTTTCCGTTCAGCTAGTGAGGTGTCATAAAAAATACATTTTTGAATATGGCTATTGGTGTATACAGAACATTTTATTTGCACTTCAGCCTTTGTGTATTTCATAGCATCTTGTGGCGTTTCATCTGTTACAATTTCCAACACGGAATGGAAGTGCTAGCATTCTGTCCACCCCTGCCAAGACCTTCACTCTGCTTTCAGACCTAGATCTAACATTGGATCATTCAATTTAGTTGTGTGGCCATTTTAAAACATTTTGCATAGTCAAAGATGTATGCACATTGCTATTTTCTTCCGCATCTGAATCGAGGTCTGCATTCCCTGTGTCTGTATCAGTTGATCCTTGCTCCATTCCGCTGTCAGAGAAACCTTGGCTTGCATGGCCAACGTCAAAGTCATGATCGTCATCATCATACACCCCCACACTCTTCTGCTATGAAAGCATGTATTTTACCGTGATGGAACATCTTCATCATCCATGCATAAGTAATCGATGATTCACTTTTGACCTCCTCCGAACCTTGAAAATCTGTTTTTTCATGAGCCATTGTACTGAATTGAGCTACTTCTACCAGAAAAGTCAAAAGAAAACTTTAAAGCAAAACAAATCCTAGAGTGCTAGAATATACCTCAGTGGCACAGCACCTACCTGGCAAGCTCAAGGTTGTGATGCTCAGGTAAACATATGCAAAACCAGTTAGAGCACAAGGAAGGTACAAATCCTGTTTTGCTGCTTTTGCACACTTGGACATACCTTGCTGTTCCTCATACTGTTATAGACATTTAAGTTAGATAGAAATATTACAGGCAGTCAGATAAGGTTAGGCCCTAGAAGGAGCCAGGGCAGAAGATGAGATATTTTATAACTGTAGGGGAAACAGGCACTTCTGCTGTGGGTCAGACCTCAAGACAAAAGATAAAATGAATACATCCACATACTTCCTAAGGATGAACATCAGGGATTGGTATTCTAAACAAGTATCGTCACCTTGAGGAAGCCAGGAAGAGCCACTAACCCAACCTCCTATAGCAAGAGCCTCTGTTCTGTATTCATGCTCGCTTACTATGTGACTCTCTTCCCCAGTTGATCCTGATTTAATTAACTTTACCTGAATAATGATGCTCATAATCTTATTGGTTGACCATAGTTTTGTCCCACCTCGTGTCCACCATGTGATTTCCCATTTTTCCCCACCTTGGAACCATCTCATCTTGTGATTTTGCTCTATAAAAATCCATGGAAAAGGCAGGGTCCTTGGCAACCCACTCAGGATCCCTGTGTGTCTCTCTCTCAAACAGAAGCTTTCTTTCCCCCAACAAATATATTCTGCTCTTTACCTCTGTTGTTCCTAAAATTCATTCAATTTTAGAGAATCCGAACTCTCTACCAGACGTTTAGCAGATTGGGAGTTTCTTTCCCCTATATCAATACCAAGTGGGTAAACACATAGATTGCTTTCCGTACCTCTCAGGGAAAGGTACTGAGACACACAGCCAGCTACTATTATGCTAAAATATAACTTTATAGTACAAAAGTAAGGGATGGGCCTTTTAGTGCAATACTGTTTATTAAAATGAGCATCTTTTTACCTCTCAGTTAAAGCAGTGTCTTTGTTATACAAAGGTGGAAACTGTTCCCCTGCACCATTGCTCTGTTGAGCCTTGCATGCGCCAGCACCAACCTGTCCTAACAAGTGCAGCGTTAACAAAGTCTTGGCATTTGATTGTGCCACTCCACATTCTTCTGTCTCAATTTGCCTTGCCTACTGCAATCTTTAGCACTTCCACAGAGAATGCAGACTCAACAGGGCAGCTTTGACATCATCACCATGAACTCTGGTGCCATTTTTATCAGTATTGCATCAAATCTACATATCAGTGTATGGACACTTTTCCTTTTAACAATATTAAGCCTTCTAACTTATGGCCTTTGTATAACTCTCCTTATAGAAGTCTTCAGTTTCTTTTCTCGTACAAATTGTTTTATTTTCAGTGTAGAAGTCCTACAC